TAGAAGACAGGACGTACTACTAAAATGATTGTACAATATGATGGTAAATACGGTGGTTCTTAAAAGTTTGTGAACCGTTTTGAATTTTCAATATTTCTGCATAAATATGACCTAAAACATGATCTGTTCTCCACACAAATCCTAAAACTAGATAAAGAGAACCAATTTAAACAAATGAGTAAAAAACATTATACTTGTTCGTTTATTTATTGAGGGAAATGAGCCAAAGCTACATATTTAAAACAACATAATATAAACAGAAGCTTAAAATTCAAAACAACTTAATATAAACAGAAATTTAGAATTCCATAAATGTTGGAGTCATCTTACGGAGGAGGAGGAACTCTGTGCCAAAGTGACTGCCTAAGCTATGAAACTCATTAAAAAAGTGTGGGAGGTGCAAGATGGACACTTGTCCCCCTGCTTTTTACAAGTTTTTTCATTATACAGTAGCTGCAAGGGGAAGACAACTAAGGGTAATTAGCAGTGCCAGCTTCCAGATTTATGAAGTTTTAAGACTTCTAAGGATATAAAGGAGTGAAAAGGCTTAAGGTTCTGTTTTGCCCCTTGCTGATTCTACCGTATTGTTACTGACCTTTTCAATTGGTTTTAAACATTTTTTAATGTTTAATATATAGCACGCTAGTCTCTAACTGTTCTGAAGGAAGAATTTAAAAACATTTGACATAAATATAAATATATTATTAACCTAATAGCAAATAGTCCTTTAAGACTGGGAAAGTCTGATTGTGTGAAAAGTCCAAAATAAAAATATCTTCTATTAATGATGACAGCTGGATCTTGAATTCCTGACAGCTCACTGAGCATTAAATTCTCTTTCCCAAATGCATTGTAATACATTTCCAAAACAAATGGCTTAATTTTTTCAGAGCTAATTTAACAGATTTCTCCTAAGGTTTTTAAAGTCTGTAATGTTTGATACAGGGGTGGATAAATTGGGGAGGAGGCTATGATTCCCCCCCCCCATGCACCCAAAGGTGTTGAAAGTTACAAGGCATGTGTTTGGTGACAGAATGACATCAGTGGGGATAGGATAAAAATGTATTTTTGCTTTTGGGGACACAGTTTTAAGGCATAAAACAGCTTCTGGAATTCTTTCCAATTATTTTACTAGCAGTGGTCATAGGAAATGACTGCATTTTCTTCTGTGTAACGAAGTAACATGTTGTACCTGCGTGTTTCTGTCTCCTCTAATTTTACAGGACAGGCTGCATTCTCTAGATCACAAGATCAGGTAGAAGGAGGGAGGGGAGTTTAGAATGAACATTTAGCAACTGTTTGAGCAAATGCCCAACTGCTTCTCCATAGGGATGCATTAAGGGATTCCTACATAAATGGACTATAT